GTGCAGCGTAGGCCGCCTTCCACTCAGGTTCTTTTGATAGCCGCTTTCAGTTCTGAGGAATGTTGCCTCTACTGCTTTCCTGTTGTTTGGCAGGGTTGCTGGATCTTCTGTCCACGGATACTTAGCATGCCAGTGTGGTTCGGTGCTGTGTACATCTCCAGTCGTGTATGTCAAACCATTTCTTATGATCTCCATCTCCCTTTCTTCTGCAAGAGTTATCTCCTTTCCCCCTGGCTGGCAGTTCCCGCAGCGACACCCTCCACATCTCGGCTGACAGGCGGCTCCGATGCTCTCCCACCTCCACCACTTCAGAAAGTCTTTGCTGCTGGTGGCTGTGTTAGACTGGGTCTCGGGGTGGTCGGGATACTGGCAGGAAATTGGGTCTGTCTTGAATTCGAGATATTTGACCGCTGAAGTTCTCATTGATCTGGCGAAGTGAGTCTTGGACGAATGGGCCATCAGGGTGACTTCCTCAAAGAGGTCTGGATGCATGCCCCCGACTGTCTTGCCTAGTGGACCCTCCCAGAGCACCAGGTCACCAATTGAACGGATTTTTTGGGGCACCAGCTGGCCTTCTTTGTGGCTGATCAGAAGCTGGATTTCTCTGGGTCTGATGAAGTCTTTGAGGGGAACATCAGGAAAGATTTTCTGCAGCTTGTCAGGTTGAACATGTCGGTGCACCTCTGCAATTTTGTCAAGTCCGTAGCAGATCAGTTGGTGAGACTTCAGAGTTCCTTTTGGAGTCCTGACTCTGATCTTGAGGAGGTAGCGCTTTGTAGCGACAGATACTTTCATCCCTCCGACGCCATGGACACTAGTGCGACATCTTCACTGCGAAGGTTCAGCTTGCTTGCAGCTCTGTGGGTTATGTAATTTGTGTCAGACGCCAGGTCAATAAGTGTTCCGATTCTTTGCCCGTCATTGGCAGTGACGTTAAGGAGCATCAGGATCACAGGGTACTCGTGCAGACCAGTCTCCTCCAGAAGGCCTCTCTCCTCTCTCTGCTGCAGTGGAGTTGTATGCTCGAGATGCGATGTTGCAGAAAGCATTGCGACACTGCTGCGCTAGCTCAGGTGAAAGTTTGGAAAGAAACTCTTCCTGGGCCTCGGTGTAATTTTTCCCCTCAGCTCTCACCGGACCAAACTTGGGTCTTTGGGACAGCTGTCTGGGTAAGGGACAGAGAAGGTAGTGGTGTTGGTCTCTGCACTCTGGATTCCCACACAGGTAAGTAGTTTTTCTGCAGGGTTCATTGTGGATTTCGAGGCACCTCTTGCAGGCTCCGAGCTGTTGCACTGCGTCCCTCTTTTCCTGGAGCTTTGTGGTGGTTCTAAACCTCCTGCAGATGTAGAGCTTTCTTTTGTGTTTTGGATCTCCGCAGATGATGCAGCCTCCTAATTCACTGCTGGATTTAGTTGTCCTTGTTCGGGCATACTTTGTTTGAAACCTGGTCTTCTCCTTGGCAGGGTCGATGTCTCTCAGCTGTTCTAACTGCTCGTAGATAGACTCTTGGGATTGGAGGTATGCCAGTAGCTTGTCAAAGCGGTTCTGGTGGCTTACAGCATTTCTTGGGTCAGCAGCGTGGGTAAGCCAGTCTTTCTTCAGGGACTCTGGCAGCTTGCTCTCGATGGATTTTATTACTAGTGGGTTTTTTATGGCGTCTGCATTGCTTAGTTCATTTAAATCATAGAGGGCCTTTTCCACTGCTTGGATGAGCTCTACGATTCTTCTTGGGTGGTTACCACGAACAGGTGGGATAGCTTGTAGCTCCTCGACAATCTCAATAGCGATGGTGGCTTGGTTTCCGTAGCGGTTCTCTAGGACTCTGAAGATCTCGTCTGCTGAGGTGTAAGTAGAGAGCCGTAGATCCTTGGCCACTCTTTCGTCGAGGCTATCAAGTAGTTGAAATTTCTTCACCTCTTTGGATCCGGTTGGTTCACCTTGCTTCTGTAGAGCCTCCCATTCTTTCCTCCATCTGTAATACTCACACTGGCTGCCGGTAAACTTTGGTAAAGCTGTGGCTTTTAGCTTTATGGCTGCAACAGGGGCTGCGCTGTGGGCTGTGACAGGTACTCTGTTGCTGTCCTCTTTAATACTTGCTGCTCCAATCAGGGCGGCCTTCCTCGACACCAGCTTGGGAAGGAGGGTTTCGAGCTCCGTTAGCCGACGATTGAAATCTTGCTTCTCGGCTCGTGGAGCCCAGCGGTTCCAGGTCTGGTGCGCTTCTTTGGCTTTGTGCACCAGGCTCTCTAAATGGCGGAGCATAAAGTCATATGCCTCCAGGGGTGTGTCAGGCTGAGTGGAGGAGACGTTCTCGCACTCTGCCTCTGCAGCTTTTAGAGCAAGGGTCAGTTCTCTTTCACCACATGAGGCCCATAATGTCTCCTGGACAAGGTGCTTTACCTCTTTTAACTTCTGCTCACACTCTTTCTCCGTCTTCTCTATGTCAGCTCTCTGTTGGTCGCTTAACTCAGGTGCGCCCTCTGCTTCGGTTCCTTTGCCCTGTGCAATGTAAGCAGCCTCAAGCTCCTCATTTGCATCCATCACTTTAGCGCCCTCTACTGTGAGTCTTTTGAAGTTATCTTGCAGCTCCTCCACAGACATCTCCATGTGGGTCCTCGTTATATGGTTGGTGAGTCGGGAAAAAAGTCTCTTTACTGTAGTTCGCTCTGTTTTCAGCTCTTCGAGTGACTTGGACTCGGCCATGTTGCCTTTTTTGGCTGTTGGACTGACAGGTGAACGGCAGGTAGTTGATTTCCTCCAGGCCCCCAGGTGGAGTCTTCTCCCTCTTTGTGGTGGGCTCTTGTGGAGTCTTCACTTGTCACGGCCGGTTTCCTACCGTCAGGCCGGTTTTTCACTGTCAAGTGTTTCTTTTAACTGTGAGGTGTCCACACTTGAAAAGGACCAGACTTCGGATTTCACTCAGAATAATTTATTTGAATAATTGAACAGGAGTTGAACAGTATAGGTGAAAAACCTTTAAACACAGAAATAAAAAGCATTTTGAATAAACAGGTATTTCCACAGTAAACACAAGTCAAGGTAAATATTTCAAAAACGGTAAGTATATTTAAATTCAATATTATTCTTCACATTTCACCAAACTAATTATGCATTTTAATTAATCTTTAACAAAACAATTTTGGCTTACTATTTAAGCATTCTTTTACACAAATTAGGTAGAAAACCCACACATTTTAACCATATATATCCATGCATTTGAACATAGTTTCTCCCTCTCTTCAACCATGCAGCGACAACTTTAACACACCCATATTAACACCTAAACAGAAAAGATTTAAACAACATTCAAGTGAGCTTACCGATAGCCCGTCAAAATCAAAAGTCTCATTCCCCGCAGTGGATGTGTGCTGCTCATTCCGTCGTGTCAGTCCCTTTCCACCAGCCAAATGACTGCGTTATATGCTCCCGCTGATTGAAGTGTGTGCGAGCTTCTGATTGCTCAATCTAATTCACCTGGTCGAGGGTGCGCCAGGGCGCGCACGCACGGTCACACGCGGCTGCCGATGCAGAGCGGGGCGGCACGCAGGTGAGACGGCATGCAGGAGGAGGCGGGCACACGGGAGACAGGCGCACCTCTGCCAGATCAGCGCGACAATGTCACTTACTGTTTTGGGGGTTTTCTACACAGCTCTGACGTGTCATCAACTACTGTTGTTTTCCTTGGCCGACCTGTTGGACGTCTGTTGCTCAGTACACCAGTAGTTTCTTTCTTTTTCAGGACATCCCAAATTGTTGTGCTTACTATGCCCAGTGTTTGTCTAATGGCTCTGGTCAATTTTCCTTCTTTTCTCAGCTTGACAGTGGCTTGCTTTTTTCCCCATAGACAGCTCTCTGGTCTTCATGTTGGTTTATCCTCTTTAACAGGAAATGCAATCTTTATAGGTTTGAACCAAGGATGAAAACTTAGACTAGTCATGCAGAGCTATTTAATTTTTGTACAGTCAACCTAAAAGGCAACACCTGGGCAACAAGAAACATCTGTCGGTCACATGTTCCAATATTTTGCTCACTTTAAAAATGGGTGGGTTCAAACAAATGGTGGTATGTCCTGAGTTGTTTAACACATCTAGATGTGAATACCCCGAAATGAGAGCAGAAATTCGGACCTCTTGTCTCATAATCATCTTTTGATCTTAAACCCAAATGTCTTCAGTGAACAACAAAAACAAAGGAATTTGCCTTACCGTTCCAATACTTTTGGAGGGGACTGTATGTGGTAACCCAGCAGTTATCTCATGCGTAGTGATTACTGTGCCATATGTTCCTTGGTAGCTTTTGTGTTTGACTCCTAATTGGTGTGTTTGTGCAGTATGAGAGGCAGCTAGCAGAGTATCAAGAGAAGACGAGTCGTCTCCAGAGACGACTGACACAAGCTGAACAAAGGACAATTACTGCTACACAACAAGTATGGGTAACTATGTCCCTACTGTACAAGATGTATGTTTCCTGTTCTCTTGTTATTACTTACATTATTTATCTGTTTGTTTTTTGACAGCTGAGTATGTTGGCGTCGCAGCGAAGGAAAACCGCCATGGTTGATCTAGAGACTGTATAACGCCGACTGTCACTGTGCTCAATGTAGTCATGTGTGTTTAGAACATGTTGCTCTTTTTGTTTAAATATCATTATTTTGGCCAAAGGCATAAGACAGCAATGGTGTTGTCAGTGCTCTGGTGATTAAATGGGAACATGTTCAAAGTGGATACACTTATGTTGTACCAAAGGTTTTGTGGCGAATTGTATTCATAAGGATGGAATAATGTATTTTGTGTGGTATGTAAAATAAACACCTTCAGAATACAGCTTGGTCTTTATTGTTTTTAATGTTATAGGGATTTGTGTGTGTGGGGGTGGGTGTTAATGGGAATTAAATGCTTTATGTCTTAACTTCCTTGCAGTCAGGGTGAAATCATAGACTGTGTATATAAATGGTGAAACACAAAACCAGCCACGTGCCTTTGTTTGGCTGTGTTGCATGCTGGGACAGAGTTTTGTTGCTAGGAAACGCTAAGCCTCGTCTGTTGGTGAGCAACCCTTACACAGCATTGGCGTTATAGACAGTTTTATAAAGCTATAAGTAGCAAAGTTATATCAAAAAGATTTCGGAGCTGAATGTTTGATACGGTAGGTATTTTTGAATACCTGATGCTAACTCAATAAGAGGAAGTTGAGGTATTATTAAGCAAGTTGGAAAAGTAACGTTGAACTTTTAAAATAACGTTATCGTTAATAAGTTAACGTTAACAAACTTAACTAACTTGCCTAAGTACCTTAACTCGAACAACAGCTCGTGTCTACCCTTTCCACAATTACCGTTAGCGTTATGTGTTGGATTTTTCTTTATATAACTAATGCGCGGGGGGTCGCAAAATACAACTTCAGCTACTTAACGTTACGCTAACGTATAAATGTAGTTGCGTAAAGGTAAATAATAGAATTTTCTTTACTTTTTTGTCTGAAAAAATACCTTCTAGCTGACGTTACTAACTGCTCTCTGTCCTACTGTCACGCCGCTTCCGCAGGGCCTGAGGAAACTGTACACGCTATGGCCTCTGCATATCCGAGCTGCCCAGGCCAGATCAGGGACAATGAGTCCAGAGGTAGGCCCAGAGATACAGGGCATCTTGGGTATTATGGAAATGTGCAAGTTATGTCTTGAGTGTCATTAATGAAGTTCTTAATTAAATATCAGTAGTAAACTTTATTTCCACACGGACACACTATTCCAGAGCGGCAGCACAAGCTTCCTGAACTACAGAGCTCAACTATCTCACCAAGGCCTCCAGTCCATGTTCAAGACACTCAGGTGAGACTTTGCCAAGTATGATGAAACTGAGACAATATGAAGTAGCTTCTCCTGTACATCCAATTTATTACTTGCCACACTATCAATATATATTACCCTTGGCTCAGTTTGAAAGTAGTTGTAGTATGTAGAAATGGGTGTTCTTTTTTTATACTTCCCTTTAATCTAGGCTGTGCTGAAGAGACGTGTAACACGGAAACAACCCAGTCTCCACCACTTAAAAGCACGTGAGCGGATGTTTTTTCCAGGCTGGTACACTCAGACACCTTCCTCTCCGAAAACAGAGCAGCCACACAGGCGCCGCGAACAATTGCCTGTCCACCTACCTCCTCTGCAACCCACAACCAAGGTCAGTGACAGATTTGTTTGAGAAGAGAATAAGCATTGCTTAATAGATGCCCATAGTGCATGATGGACAGGTTCCTCAAAAGTATCTTTATGATGACATTATTTCATAAATATAAAATAAAGCTTGCTTGTGTCTCTTCACCACTCCTCAGTTGTCCCAGAATGTGGTATCAACCCCTAGTCTCCCAAGACGGCCTTTTTCAATTAAGAGTGGTGGACAGCTGGACCGTCCCTCTAAAGTTCAAATTTACGAGTACAGTAAGGATGACTATTTGATGATCAGCCATGGAGGTGTGTTATCAGTGTGTGAGGACAAGTTTGACTTCATAACGCTCGAGCGATGGGAAGAGGAGTATAACTACCATCACAAGCTGATCCGCATCCCCTTCTTTGCCCTCTTCAAAAAGTGGAAACCCTTCTATGTCTGGCGCACCAAAGTTCGCACCAAGAAGATTCATATGGCCAGGGAGTTCCTGCGAAACCATTTGTTTATTGTCAGTCAGGTATGTGACTCTGGGTATAAATTGAGTTCTGGGTTTTCTTTTTGATAATGAAACCATGTAAATCTATTCTGGTACAACCCCTAAATAACATTTTGAACCTGAAAATGAGCAAAATATGACCTCTTTAATGATTTTGAATAAGGAAAGCTACACCTTGTAAGTACTGAGTAACAGTCTTGGGGTTAACAGCTTAAGTTTTGTGGATATTATGTTGTGATTAACATTCTTATATGTCATCCAGTCTCTAAGTCCTGCACTGATAGACATAAGGAAAATGTGTTACCAAATCAGTGACACAGGCCTGGGTCACATGGAGCTAAAACGGACTAACACACTGCAGGAGTTCCAGGACATCCAGTTCAAACAACTGCAAGAGGTGTATACAAATTAATGCAAAAATTGGTCCAGATGTTTGAAGTGTACATACATACATTTTATATGTCTTTGTGTGCCTTCTCAGGAGCTCATTGCCCTCATTTGTTATTGTCAGGCATTGGCTGACTTGGAGAAGTTTCAAGGCCTGGTAAAGGAGTTGACAGTTTGCGCCTGTCGCAACTACTTGTCAGAACCTCGATCCACATTCAGTAAGTCAAGTGCGTACACACTGACCATATGGAAAAACTGGAATGTACAAGCATATAGACCACAATGTTAAAGGCTGATAGACAAACTCTCTGTTTGTCACAGATGATCAAAAGGACAAGAACATTCTTGCAGAGATCAACAAGACTTTTCTCTCTAGCCGCCTCATCTGGTGGGTCATTTTATTACATTTCTTTGCTATTTGTGTACCAAACTAAAACAGAAGACATTTTTACATGTCAGAGTTGGAAAACCCAGGTGTGAATGATGACATTAATGATGGCTGGATTCCACATAGCTGCCATGGCTTACTGTGACACTATGACAAGTCATAATGTTTGCTGTGAAAAAGGCCTATGCCATCATGAATCAGGCACATCTATCACATTAACCCAGTATCTTTCTCTTTCTCTCCCTACCTAGCTTTATCCGTCTTGTTGACTATTTGGTCCTCAGCACTTTGCACATCTTGGTGGTGAATGCAGTGGCCAAACTACTGGCTGTGCTCCAGGAGCAGGTAGGTCAAACGCCCAGCCATGCCGTCATTCAGAGCTGGAGCCAGCACTCGGAGGCTGACACTGACCCTGCTCTAAAGGACATGGATAAGATGGTAGGGCATTGTTTCATTATTATTCATAGTGAAATAACAGTAATAATTGCTGTATCCAACAAATTTTTTTTCAAGCAGATACAGACGAGTGTTAAGTTTGTTTTTGGTTGGTGTGTTTGTTAGTCAGGAACTTCCCAAGTCCAGCCTATGTTCATCTCTGAGCTGATGCTGGATACAGCTGCCTTAACCTACAAACCTTCTGAGGAGAACTTTCAGGTTAGTTTTCTAAATTGTTATGAACTGTTACACTTTATCTTATTTGTTACCAACTTGAAAACCAATCTTTAGTATGCTCTATGTTAATTCCTACAGGAGGCTGTTGCAGAGATCATTGGGTGGTTTGAAAAAACTGTCATGTCAGTTAATACACTCATGGCAGATCCTGATTTTGATTCAATGACAAATCTGTCTGGAGAGCACAAGGTAGTACAAACATACCACCTCAGCCTCACCCTGATGTGTATAATCAGGGTAACTTAGTTGTCCTACATGTTAATTGTTGATGTGTCAAAAAATAAGGTATCGAACAGTGATTGATGTGTAATGTAGTGTGAGTGTGTTTTTATGTGCATTTGTTTTCTACTTTTAGAAATCTGAAAATAAATATGAGGATGGCCCCTGTTTGGAATCCATCATAGACAATGATGGCCACCTTCAAAGTATTATCCAAAAAATTAAGGTCAGTTTTTACTTTGCATAGGTTTCTATCTGAAGGTTGTGCGTTGTTTGTACAGTACTATGTATGTATGGGCCTGAAAGGTTTTTCTCCTCTTAGGAATCACTCCACTTTGCCTTTGATGCAGCAAAAGTGTACTCACACACGCTTGAGCGTTTTCGGCTGTTCTATAAAGAGAACGAGAGTCTGGAGCTGGATGCAATGCGGGAACAGGATCATGGTGATGTACTATACATAAGGATAAACATTATTTTTGTAACACATCAAAATACAAGAGCTGTTGAATTGAGAATAGTGCTCATGGAAGAGCGAGGCCAGATGTACTTGTATTGGGGACACTGGACACTTAAAAATACTTCACACGCTGTGAATTAAAACATGGTTGCTTAAACCAGGGGCCTGTACTATGAAGGAAGTTCAAAGTTCAACATACCCAAGATATCTTTTCGTTATCTGGCTTCACTAACCGTAACAACCACGCTCAGACTAATAAGTATGAACTCGGTAAATCAACCCAAGGTTTTCCCAAATCAAGGTTTTCCAATCCAGCCATGAGCATGTTCACATAAAAGAGGGGGTGTTTGCAGCATATGGCCAATTGCAAAATGTCTACTGGCAGCAGAGCATCATATTTTACAAACGAAGAACAAAATGTAATATTAGATGAATAAGAAGTTAAACTCATAATCCAGACTAAAGCAACACAGCTGCAGCCAAATGCAGGATGAACAGCTGGCAAACAATCAAGGACTGTTCGAATGGGTAAGTTAACAGAATTCCATCATTAAAATATGTAAGTAGATCTGACTTTAATTGCATTTGTGAATTCCATTAAATTAATGTGTGGCTTAGATGTATTTTATGGCATGTATGTCTATTTTAGCCTGATTCTTTCAGCTGATGCGGCTGTGTGTCGGCTTTTCGACATTAATGCCATGGGCACTGAATAAGTGTCAAACTCACTTTGAAGAACTTCTCCTCACCTCAAAAATCTGATTCATGTATCTAACACACGTTTTCCCAACATTGTGCTAAATTAACTTCACAAAGCAACAAAATGAAAAATCCATTCAAGCCATAAAATGTGCTATAAATAAAATATTGATTGAAAGACTGTATCTCAACCACGGCTTCAGTTACAGTTAGATAACTCATCCACATTACCTACACCCAAATAGCAAAAGGTGGGGCAGTACTTGACGAGACTATAATATAAGAAACAAATGCAACCCAAAGTTATAATAAACAAATTTATATTAAACTTAACTTGAATACCAAAATATATGCCCATAATATTTAGCCTAACATAAAAAGAACAATAAAACCATTTCTTTTAACAGCTGTGACAGGATGTGTGAAACGCACTTGGTAGCAAATAAAAACTAAATATAAAAACATAATTCAAAGCAGTGAGCTGCTTACTTTCATATTTTAAAAGTATAACAAGTACTTGGCTTTAGTGCCTCAGTCAGTCTCTGTTGTAGGGTGATATCAGTGCACTAAAGCATCACCCATCTCATAAAAGTAGCCTATAAAAAGTCTGCAGGATATTCTCCTGAATATATTTGTTTTCAAGTAACGTTACCTCTCAGCTTTCCTCTGCCTTAAAAGGTACCTCAGGAGTTTTCTTGACTTAACAAACAAAACTTCTGTTTACATTCTGTGTTTCTCACCAAAACACATTAGGTGTATCCTTGAGGTCAAACAAATTCCTTTCTCATACATTCATGTAAATGCTGCATTGTTTACATCTGCTCTTCGCTAACCTGCAGTATTATTCTTCACTGTCTTTGTTGTTTCATTTCTTGGTGTTACTCTTGCCAATTGGCTATCAGCAGAATAATCTAACAACAGCAGCAGGAATGTGTATCACATCAGCCCCTTACTTGCACAAGTGCATGTGTGTCCTTATGCGTATGTGTGATATAATAAAAACCTGGACCTTTGTGAAAACATGGCTCCATATAGCACTACAAGAGGTCAAAAACTCCACAGAGCACATTTAAAGACCAGATCATTGTTTGTGTTTTCTAGTCTATAAACTACATATGTCCATTTTCCAAAGCATATAGTTGGTAGATACTTCATCATTTTACAGATGTATGGTATAACAAGATGAAGATAAATTGTTTTGCAATAGGAAAATCAACTTGCAGAGACATTTTCGTTAAAGCTGCATTATTGCATGGTAGTGTACTTGAGAGCAGACAATTTTGGAAACATTTCCTTGTTGTTGCATTTAAGTTTTGCGAAGATGTCACAGCCTCTGTAAACTCATCCAGATTGTTGCTAGCAGTCCAGGCTCATGTGAAAGTAGATTGCCAACCTGTTTGCATTCATGCATTGTGATGTCAGATAATCAATCCCTCGTTGTGCATTTCTCAAATTTCCTGGTATATATAAATACTTTGTTACGTGTTATGGAGGTTGGACCCAGGCGCAGATGAAGAGCGCAGGATGCTGAGTGAAGGTTTACAGATTTTATTACAACACAGAGAATCTAGTGAGGTGAAGCAGGTTCAGCGTGAGCAGGGGTCAGGCAGGAGAGAGAGCAGCTGGCCCCCTTGCCGGCAGTGAGTAGTGATCCAGGTAATCCTCCAGAAAACAAACTCGGTGAGGTGATCTTGAAAAAACACAAATACAGAGGCACAGGTTTGTGGTGGAACAACTAACCGATAGCAAAGAACACTGGAAGACTAGAACTGATCACAAGATGGGCTTTAAGTACTCAACCACTTGAGGTGAGGAAATAATCTCGTGATGAGCCAGAGGAAGCCTGGGGTCTTTATACCACAGGAGATGAGCAGATAGAAAACAGGTGTGCAGCACCCCAAACTCCTGATCCTCTCCACGCCTCAGGAACACCGACTCACACCACAGAGACAGAGGGAGGGTGGAAACACAAAACAAAAAATACAGAAAACAACAGTCATAGCTCTGACTGTGACATACAGATCTATATAGAGTTACATACATGGCCCTTGATGTTAAAACTGTTGGGGTTATATCATAACCAGTGGTTGACATAGAGACTCTGGTCACTGCATGTCCAAAAACGTAAGTTGTTCTTTTGTATTTGTTTCTTTTTACATTCACCATTCATCTTAATCAGTGCTACTGGAGGTTGTGTTGACTGAAATGATTACTATGTAATTATGTTTTTGTCAGTGCACTTTGGGAGTCAGTTCAAAGATGGGAGAGGTATAGTGGCAGATGAGTTTTGGATGGAAAAGGAAATAGTTTTACTGTAATATGATTTCTTGTCATGTCATATATGAACAAATGTCTTTTTTCCCCTTTCTTGTGAATTTGTGGCACACAAAATTCTCACATGCCTTTCCAGCTCCTAAAACAAACAAAAAAACCCATCTCATAAAACCTAAAAGACATTCAATAAGCAAACACAGGTTTTAATAAGCATGCAAAATAACGAAATTGTTTTAGACTGATGGATTTACTGCTTTGTCTCACAGGATTGTCCTTTTTTGAAAAAGCACTGGAGTTATATCACAGTGAGCATAAGGAAGCCTTAGCCATCCAACAGACGAGGCATCTAGGCTTACTGCTTGGGACAAAACACAGCTCAAAGAGAGGCTTGTGGCATCACCGCTCCGCTGTCTGGAGGTGAGGACTAGCAGTATGGAAGCACATACTGTATTTCTGTCATTGCACAACTGGTTTTGATTTATGGAGAGTTCTTGACTGTGAAGAACAAGTGATTTAAACCAGGAGGCAATGGGGCCATTCTGTGTTTATTAAACCGCACTGAAATGAAAATATCAGCAAGGTCCAGGGCCTCAGTGAGTGATATATTTGGGAGAAATGTTTTCTAATACGACCAAATAATAAATGAAAACTATAGCAAAACATGTTAAAGTTATTTAGGAATCATTGCCCTGGTCTGAATATCTGTTTCAGGTCATCAACGAGATGCTTACCCAGCTGGCTAAGAGGAAGCTAGATGATGTCATTGCCGAGGCTTGTGAAGCCCAGTTTAAACTAGAGTTCAGTCCCTCCACTACATCTGAGTTAGCCAGTTCCCTCACATTCCTTGATGACATACAGGAAAGGGTAAGGTATACATTTCACAATGATAACAGTTTCTTTAGCAATCAGAAGTGTTGTAGCAAAAGTTATTTTTAAAGTAAGTAACCCAGTCTCCCCTCTTCTCAAATTCTCTACCTTTAACTGTCTGACTCTGTTCTACTGAACTCTATCCTCCCTCTTTCTTTTTCTACCTCTCACCAGATAACATTGCTAGAAGAGGAGCAGGAGACAGTATGTCAGATGTACAATCTGATTAACATGTACTCCGTTCCCACGCCACCTGAGGATCTGGTTGTTTTTGCGAACTTGCAACCCTCCATTGACTCATTGCGAAGGATCATCGATAAGGCAGCGTTGGAAAGAGAGTCCAGCATGGACAAGCTTTGCAGCTCCTTGCATAAGGCCATCAAGGAGCTGGACCACGAAGTCATGAAAATCAAGCTTAAGTCACAGGTACTTGAAGAAGTTGTATCAACTAATGCAGGTTGTTTATACAAATCAAACGGTTGGTTTACTCACAGCTCATGCAGAGCCTTTTTGACTTGTTTGGCTTGTGATTTTTCATGTGTAGGATCCACAAATCTTAGACATCAATGCCGATTCCTCCCAAGTCCGTCTGTGCTGAGTGAGCTCCAGATTTCCATAGACGAGCTGCTGGCCCAGTCTTCCGCCTACACCTCCTACCAGAAGAAATTCAAGGTTTTGTAAATCTTTAGAAGCTTTCAGTAATTTCAAAAGATTCTTGCAAACAACATGTCAGGTTATAACAATTTTGTGTTGAAAAACTGGGTCCACGGCATAATGGGTCATGTCATTTAAAATTTACCAACGAACAAGCTAACAAACCTAATCCTATTACACATGCCCTCGCACGTGTTGCAGCACGCTGCAGCTGCAGTGGCGTTGCTGGAGGTTAGTTGATGTGGCTCGTAGATGTTAAATGCGACTTCCTGTGTCTGCTATCTGGCGCTATAGAACTCATTATATATATGTTCCAGTATCACTATCCAGTATATAACCACGACGTGAGAATTTTAAGTAAATCAAATGATTGTCACAAGACTTTCTACCTGTAGCCAGTAGGTGGTGCTATGACTGAATATTAGGTGTGTTTGGTTTCACACGGAGCTTCACAGCGCTGACTTAACGTGATGCATGCTGGACTTAACATAAGGCATGCAGGTTAAAAAATTTTGTACGACTTTTGTCGGTGCTTCAAAATGTCACCATGTGACATGACATTAAAACTTTGCAGGAGAAAGGTGGCTGCAGTTTTCTGAGTTGTTTTTCTCTGGCTGCACCAAGTGGGATCCACCTTTTGCCTAACCCACTGTTATAAGCTCAGTTACTCTACGGGAAGTAGAAAGTGTCCGACTTGACAGCAGTTATTTATACCCTACCTTGCAGTTGTCTGCAGCTCACATTGACTATCAAGTTAGCAAAAGTCAGCCACAGTCATCTCGAACACACCTATTGACATGCAGAGCCTGTAAATGGCGAGAATTCCCTAAAATTGCGGATTCAATTCAAAATGGCCGAGTTTCTGTTTTGTATTGCTTTTTTAAAATCTTGGAATGATACATTTACCACAAGTTTCTCAATCTAGGTGAAACATAACGCGGGGGAAAATGTCTTTCAATTTTTTAGGGGGCGCTGTGGAGCTATTTTGTCACACCCATGCCCTAAAGCTTACATTTTTGCCTCTTCTGACATTTGTGCAAAGCTTTGTGAGTTTTCGAGCACCTTTAGCCTAATTAGTTTTCCCCCTTTAACCTCTGATGAATAAAGGTGGAGGTGACCAAGTTTGACACCCTGGAAGACTTGACTGCAGAGTTTAGGCTGAAGCAGCTGCTGTGGGACTCTCTAGAGGAATGGGACTCTTTACAGGAGGGATGGAGGCAGGTGAGGAGCACCCAACGTATGCGAAGGCCTGAACACATACAGTATAATGTACAGACACATGCAAACAGTTCTTGCTCTCTTCTAAGCTTGACACTGTCCTTTCATGTTCACCCATATCCAGAGAACACTTGAGCAACTGGACCTAGAGCAGTTCAGTTCGCAGGTCAACAAATATAGCAAATACGTCAGCCAGCTGGAGAAGGGCCTGCCACGTAACAATGCAGTGACAAGTCTTAAGGATAAGGTGGAAGTCATGAAGCAAAGGGTGGGTAGGACAAAGCGTTCTGTAGTGACTGACAGTAATGTGTGTAAAAAACAAAACTAATGTTATCACAAATCTCTTTTTGAAATGATGCCACATTAAAATATTTACTGCAGGCCAGTACTGGTGATTTAGCTAGTTGGTTCTTGACAACAGCTTTTTGACTCTATCTAAATCATATTCACATGCTTTCCTTCAGATTCCTGTGCTCACTGATCTACGTAACCCTTGTATGAAACCAGCACTGGAAGATTCTGGAGTCTGTTGTGGGGACCTCCCTGAATGTGGAGGAGCTTACTGTGGATGTTTTAGAGGAGATCAACATCTTCTCCTATGGCATGGAGACACACAAGGTGACATAATATAGCTACATTATCTTCTCTTCTTATATTTGTGAGACTATAGTCAGTCCTGACTAGTAAGTTGGGAAAAGGGTAAGTGTGTACTACTACTTGGGCTTACCTTACCTACTACTTTGCAGTAAACATTTTGTTTTTTTTAACCATTGACTTTTAGGTGTCTGGACAGGCTTCGGGAGAGGCATCGGTAGAGAACATTGTTGCAAAGGTGCGTGGAAAGGGATCTACCTATGAATAGGTGTATGGATATTACAGTATCTCACAAAAGTGAGTACACACCTCACATTTCTGTAAATATTTGATTATTTCTTTTCATGTTACAACACTGAAGAAATGACACTTTGCTACAATGTAAAGTAGTGACTGTACAGCTTGTATAACAGTGTAAATTTGCTATTCCCTCAAAATAACACATCACGCAGCCATTAATGTCTAAACCGCTGGTAATAAAAGTGAGTACACCCCTAAGTGAAAATGTCCAAATTGGACCCAATTAGCCATTTTCCCTCCCCGGTGTCATGTGACTCGTTAGTGTTACAAGGTCTCAGGTGTGAATGGGCAGCAGGTGTGTTAAATTTGGTGTTATCGCTCTCACACTCCATCACAATGGTTACTGGAAGTTCAACATGGCACCTCATGGCAAAGAAGTCTCTGAGGATCTGAAAAAAAGAATGTTGCTCTACATAAAGATGGCCTAGGCTATAAGAAGATTGCCAACACCCTGAAACTCAGCTGCAGTATGGTGGCCAAGACCATACAGTGGTTCAACAGGACAGGTTCCACTCAGAACAGGCCTCGCCATGGTCGACCAAAGAAGTTGAGTGCACGTGCTCAGCGTCATATCCAGAGGTGGTCTTTGGGAAATAGCTGTATGAGTGCTGCCAGCATTGCTGCAGAGGTTGAAGGGGTGGGGAGTCAGCCTGTCAGTGCTCAGGTCATACGCCTCACACTGCAACAAATTGGTGTGCATGGCTGTCGTCCCAGAAGGAAGCCTCTTCTAAAGATGATGCAAAAGAAAGCCTGCAAACAGTTTGCTGAAGACAAGCAGATCACAGGACATGCATTACTGGAACCATGTCCTGTGGTCTGATGAGCTCAAGATAAACTTATTTGGTTCCGTTGGTGTCAAGCATGTGTGGCGGCAACCAAGTGAAGAGTACAAAGACAAGTGTGTCTTGCCTACTGTCAAGCAAGGTGGTAGGAGTATCAGGGTCTGAGGCTGCATGAGTGCTGCTGGGACTGGGGAGCTGCAGTTCATTGAGGAAACCATGAATGCCAACATGTACTGTGACATACTGAAGCAGAGCATGATCTCCTCTCTTAAGAGACTGGGCTGCCGGGCAGTGTTCTAAACATGAGAACGACCCCAAACACACATCCAAGATGACCACTGCCTTACTAAAGAAGCTGAGGGTAAAGGTGATGGACTGACCTAGCATGTCTCCAGGCCTGAACCCTATTGAGCATCTGTGGGGCATCCTCAAACAGAAGGTGGAGGAGCACAAGGTCTCTAACATCCACCAGCTCTGTGATGTCATCATGGAGGAGTGGAAGGACGCCAGTGTCAACCTGTGAAGCTCTGGTGAACTTCATGCCCA